CACAGAGCACCACTAACACCACCACAGAAGCACCACTAACACCACAAGCACCACTAACACCACCACAGAGCACCACTAACACCAACAGGCACCACTAACACCCACACCACTAACACCACCACAGAAGCACCACTAACACCACACCACTAACACCACCCAGGGCACCACTAACACCACAAAACACCACTAACACCACAAAACAACTAACACCACAGAAGCACCACTAACACCACCACTAACACCACCACAGGGCACCACTAACACCACCACAGAGCACCACTAACACCACCACAGAAGCACCACTAACACACCACAGGAGCACCATAACACCACCACAAGCACCACTAACACCACCACAGAAGCACCACTAACACCACCACAGAAGCACCACTAACACCAGCAAACGCCACTAACACCACCACAGAAGCACCACTAACACCACCAAGAAGCACCACTAACACCAACAGAGCACCACTAACACCACCACAGAGCACCACTAACACCACCACAGGAGCACCACTAACACCACAAACACCACTAACACCCAGAAGCACCACTAACACCAAGAGCACCACCACAGAAGCACCACAAGAGCACCACTAACACCACCAGAGCACCACTAACACCACCACAGACACCACTAACACCACCACAGAGCACCACTAACACCACCACAAAGCACCATAACACCAACAGGAGCACCACTAACACCACCACAGAACACCACTAACACCACCACAGAAGCACCACTAACACCACAGGAGCACCACTAACACCACCACAGAAGCACCACTAACACCACCACAGAAGCACCACTAACACCACCACTAACACCAGCACAAACACATAACACCACCACAGAAGCACCACTAACACCACCACTAACACCAGCACAAGCACCACTAACACCACCACAGAGCACCACTAACACCACCACAGAAGCACCACTAACACCACCACAGAAGCACCACTAACACCACCACAGGACACCACTAACACCACCACTAACACCACCACAGAAGCACCACTAACACCACCACAGAAGCACACTCCACAAGCACCATAACACCACCACAAACACCACTAACACCACCACAGAAGCACCACTAACACCACCACAGAAGCACCACTAACACCACCACAGAAGCACCACTAACACCACCACAGAGCACCACTAACACCACCACAGAGCACCACTAACACCACCACAAGGCACCTCTACCACAAACAACACTAACACCACCACAGAGCACCACTAACACCCACCACTAACACCACCACTAACACCACCACAGAAGCACCACTAACACCACCAAGAATACACAACACCACCACAGAGCACCACTAACACCACCACAGAAGCACCACTAACACCACCACAAGCACCACTAACACCACTAACACCACCACAGACACCACCACAGGGCACCACTAACACCACCACAGAGCACCACTAACACCACCACAGAAGCACCACTAACACACAGAGCACCACTAACACCACCACTAACACCACCACAGAGGCACCACTACCACCACACAGAACACTAACACCACCAGAGCACCTACCAAGCACCCTAACACCACCACAGAGCACCATAACACCACCACAGAGCACCACTAACACCACCACAGAAGCACCACTAACACCACCACAGAAGCACCACTAACACCACCACAGACACCACTAACACCACCACAGGGCACCACTAACACCACCACAAACACCACTAACACACCACAACACCACCACCACAGAAGCACACTAACACCACCACAGAAGCACCACTAACACCCCACAAACACCACTAACACCCACCACAGAAGCACCACTAACACCACCACAGAAGCACCACTAACACCACCACAGAAGCACCACTAACACCACCAGAAGCACCACTAACACCACCACAGAAGCACCACTAACACCACCACAGAAGCACCACTAACACCACCACAGAGCACCACTAACACCACAGAAGCACCACTAACACCCACAGAAGCACCACTAACACCACCACAGAAGCACATAACACCACCACAGAAGCACCACTAACACCACCACAGAAGCACCACTAACACCACCACAGAAGCACCACTAACACCACCACAGAAGCACCACTAACACCACCACAGAAGCACCACTAACACCACCACAGAAGCAACACTAACACCACCACAGAAGCACCACCATAACACCACAGAAGACACTAACAAACACAGGAGCACCACTAACACCACCACAGAAGCACCACTAACACCACCACAGAAGCACCACTAACACCACCACAGAAGCAACACTAACACCACCACAGAAGCACCACTAACACCACCACAGAAGCAACACTAACACCACCACAGAAGCACCACTAACACCACCACAGAAGCACCACTAACACCACCACAGAAGCACCACTAACACCACAGAAGCACCACTAACACCACCACAGAAGCACCACTAACACCACCACAGAAGCACCACTAACACCACCACAGAAGCACCACTAACACCACCAGAAGCACAACTAACACCACCACAGAAGCACCACTAACACCACCACAGAAGCACCACTAACACCACCACAGGAGCACCACTAACACCACCACAGAAGCACCACTAACACCACCACAGAAGCACCACTAACACCACCACAGAAGCAACACTAACACCACCACAGAAGCACCACTAACACCACCACAGGAGCACCACTAACACCACCACAGAAGCACCACTAACACCACCACAGAAGCACCACTAACACCACCACAGAAGCACCACTAACACCACCACAGGAGCACCACTAACACCACCACAGAAGCAACACTAACACCACCACAAAAGCACCACTAACACCACCACAGAAGCACCACTAACACCACCACAAAGCACCACTAACACCACCACAGAAGCACCACTAACACCACCACAGAAGCACTACTAACACCACCACAGGCACACTAACACCACCACAGAAGCACCACCACCCAGAGCCACTAACACCACCACAGAAGCAACTACTAACACCACCACAAAGCACCACTAACACCACCACAGAAGCACCACTAACACCACCACAGAAGCACCACTAACACCACCACAGAAGCAACACTAACACCACCACAGAAGCACCACTAACACCACCACAGGAGCACCACTAACACCACCACAGAAGCACTTCACTAACACCACCACAGGAGCACCACTAACACCACCACAGAAGCACCACTAACACCACCACACAGAAGCACCACTAACACCACCACAGAAGCACCACTAACACCACCACAGAAGCACCACTAACACCACCACAGAAGCACCACTAACACCACCACAGAAGCACCACTAACACCACCACAGAAGCACCACTAACACCACCACAGGAGCACCACTAACACCACCACAGAAGCACCACTAACACCACCACAGGAGCACCACTAACACCACCACAGGAGCACCACTAACACCACCACAGAAGCACCACTAACACCACCACAGGACCACCACTAACACCACCACAGAAGCACCATCACCACCACAGAAGCACCACTAACACCACCACAGAAGCACCACTCACCACCACAGGAGCACCACTAACACCACCACAGAAGCACCACTAACACCACCACAGAAGCACCACTAACACCACCACAGAAGCACCACTAACACCACCACAGAAGCACCACTAACACCACCACTAACACCACCACAGAAGCCACTAACACCACCACAGAAGCACCACTAACACCACCACAGAAGCACCACTAACACCACCACAGAAGCACCACTAACACCACCACAGAAGCACCACTAACACCACCACTAACCCACCACAGAAGCACCACTAACACCACCACAGAAGCACCACTAACACCACCACAGGAGCACCACTAACACCACCACAGAAGCACACTAACACCACCACAGCACCACTAACACCACCACAGAAGCACCACTAACACCACCACAGAAGCACCACTAACACCACCACAGAAGCACCACTAACACCACCACTAACACCACCACAGAAGCACCACTAACACCACCACAGAAGCACCACTAACACCACCACAGGAGCACCACTAACACCACCACAGAAGCACCACTAACACCACCACAGAAGCAACACTAACACCACCACAGAAGCACCACTAACACCACCACAGAAGCACCACTAACACCACCACTAACACCACCACAGAGAGCACCACTAACACCACCACAGAAGCACCACTAACACCACTAACACCACCACAGAAGCAACACTAACACCACCACAGAAGCAATCACTAACACCACCACAGAAGCACCACTAACACCACCACAGAAGCACCACTAACACCACCACAGAAGCACCACTAACACCACCAGAAGCAACACTAACACCACCACAGAAGCACCACTAACACCACCACAGAAGCACCACTAACACCAACACAGGAGCACCACTAACACCACCACAGAAGCACCACTAACACCACCACAGAAGCACCACTAACACCACCACAGAAGCACCACTAACACCACCACAGGAGCACCACTAACACCACCACAGAAGCACCACTAACACCACCACAGAAGCACCACTAACACCACCACAGAAGCACCACTAACACCACCATCCCTCTCCCAACATCCACAGGGGCGCGCCAGAACCTCGCATGGCAACAGCGGCTACCAATCAATGTTTGTTTGTACCGCTGTGCCATCCACGTGCGCGCGCTTCTCTCTTCCCGCCAGACCAGACCTTGGTGTTTTGATTCGGCTCTCCTCGCCTCCCTAGCCTTATCTTAACCTCCCCTCAGACTCTTAAGAGACTCTTGGAGCAGTAAACGAGGAGTTATAGGGGTGTGGGAGCCTCAAGACGGGAGAATAAGACAATGAAGAGGAGAATAGGTGGAGACAGACATATGGACATTTGAGACGCGGTAGCTGTGACGTCACTCAATCAGCTGACGGACCCAAACAGGGGCGCCGCAGCAGCCTCGTCTGGCAGTGTTGCGCTAGAGTTACGGTAGGGTGGAAGTCTTCCCGTTTCTCTCCGTCTGGTACACGCGCGCTTGACAGTGTCTCGTGAACCGACATGACAGGTAGCCATAACAAGTTGGGTAGAAGGTTTTAGTTTGTCATGAAGCTAGAGAATAATGTCATGCAAGTGTGTCTGTGAGAATTGAAGTGATTTTTATGTGATTTACTTCGATGTGGTTTTTTTTTTTTAGGTGAAATAACTTAGAGGTTATTGAGTGAGGGAACTTCTCTCACTAGGTACTTCGTTTTCTAGGCCTCGAGTTTGTTTGTTTCCGTGTGTTTAAAGGTCCAGCTCATCTACCTGTGTGTGTGTGTGTGTGTGACTGAATGAAAGGAAGGAAGGACTTTAATGTTTGTCTGTTGATGTCTACGTTTATGTATGTATGTATGTATTTTAATTAGCTATAAACAAACACACACACCCACACACACAAACACACACAAACATACATTCATTAAACTTATACCATTTTACACAATCTCTTTAAAACAAACACTAAAACAGGATCAAAGAACAAAACAGATGAACTATACCACATATAACACACTCTGTCATGAATGTTATTATTATATGAAGAACAAATGTGATTACGTAGAGAGACAGAGAGAGAGACTAAATGAATGAAAAGATAAGAATGTTGATTAGCGATGATGTAATAAGAGAGGAAGAGAGAAAGAGAGAGCAAATATACGTGAGATAAAGAAGATTAACTAACTGTGGTATACGATAATGAGTGGAGAGAGAGACAGAGACTAAATGAGGGAAACGAGAAGAAAATCAAATAACTATGGTGTGAAGATGGAAAGAATAGGATTAATTGATCATAAGGAGAAGAATATACTAATTAATTGTAATGAGCGATAATTGGAGAGAGAGAGAGAGAGAGAGAGAGAGAGAGAGAGAGAGAGAGAGAGAGATTTCCATAACGCAAGAAAACAACACTAGCGTTAATAACTAATGAACATATATGAACACAATGTACATCAGTGACTTGTGGAGTGTACAGTGAACAATAATAATAAAGGGTGAACAGTGTAAAAGAGTGTAGTGAACATGTACAAAATGAACGTTCGTGACAGGGTGTACATAAAAGTTCATCATTGTTCATTGTAAGTGATAAGTGGGTGGATTGTACAGAACAGTGATAATGTATGTACAGTGAACAAGAGAACGTTTGTTTAGGTAGAGAACACAGGGTCTAACGTTCTCAAGCAGTGAAACAGAGAACGTTTGCTTAGGTAGAGAGTGTAGAGTAACGTTCCCAAGCAGTGAATGTGGTTTACAGTGAAAAACGTTTACAGTGAATGCTCAGTATATGCAATGACGTTTCACCTCCAGCAGTGAACTTGAGGGAAACAGTGAAAAACGGATTTGTAAGTCTCGAACAGTGAAATATAACAGTGATTGACAGTGTACAAGTAAGTGACAGATCAATGAAACAGTGATTGAAAAGATGAAAGATGGATGGCATTGTATTGAAGAATGCAGTGAATGGTAGATGAATGCAGTGAATAAAAGATGTATAAAGTGCAGTGAAATAACAGATTGGAGGAATGAACGAAAAGTCAACAAAGGTGCAGTGAAATTTACACTTAATAAGGTATACACAGGGATGAATGCTAAGACAGTGAAAAAATGTACAATTAATGAATGGTGTACACGTAATGAACAATGAATGATAATGAACAGTGAAAAGTGTACTTAGTATAATGAATCAATGCAAGTGTAGGATTGACAGTGAAATGTACAATGATGTACTATTACTGTATGATGTACAAAGAGTGTACAGTGGAATGTGAGAACAGTGTACAAGAGAGAGAGAGAGAGAGAGAGAGAGAGAGAGAGAGAGAGTAAAGAATGATAAGTGTAACCACATTAAATGAGAGAGAGGGAGTCATGGCCATGTGCCAAGATTATGGCCATGTATCAGGGTAATCATTGTGGCCATGTGTCAGGGAAGTCATTGTGGCCATGTGTTAGGATAGTCATTGTGGCCATGTGTTAGGATAGTCATTGTGGCCATGTGTTAGGATAGTCATTGTGGCCATGTGTTAGGATATTCATTGTGGTCATGTATTAGGGTAGTCATTGTGGCCAAGTGTAATGTTAGAGTCATTGTGGCCACACTAATAATAACAATGATAATAATACAAGTAATAGTAACAATGATAATAATAATAATAGAGCTGTCTAAGTGTGTTTTGAGGTTAGGTAACCAGGCAACAAGGCCATTCGTGTCCAAACACCTGTGTCGTTGTTAAGGCGCCTCGCCCTCTGTACTGTCTGTTGTCATAGAGTAAAAATATGACGTCAATAACAAGTCATAACTACGTCAATAACAATAATAATAACAACAACAACAATGATAATAATATCAGTCATAACTACGTCAATAACAATAATAATAACAACAACAACAACAATAATAATAACAACAACAACAATAATAATAATAATATCAGTCATAACTACGTCAATAACAATAATAATAACATCAACAACAACAACAATGATATTAATATCAGTCATAACTACGTCAATAATAAATAATAATAACAATAACAACAACGATAATAATAATAATAACAACAACAACAATAATAATAATAATAATAATAATAACAACAATAATAATAATAAGTGAGGTACCCGCATCTACAGTTTTCTTTGTGAGTGACGTCAGAAAAGATGGCGTGAGGTATCTGTGTAGTGTTTACATACGTGACGTCACACAAGAGAGGTGACGTAAAGGAGTTGTGTGATGTTTTATCAGATTATTTACCTGTGTGACGTCATAAAAGATTACACCATGCAGTTGAGTAATGTTTACAATATGGTGAAGTATTGACGATTAGATGAAATTGTGACTCTCTCTCTCTCTCTCTCTCTCTCTCTCTCTCTCAAACTTTCATACTGAGAGGTCTTAAGTCCTCGGCAGGGAGGGGGAAGGAGTCTTAATCTAGAGACTTTTCTTCAAAGTTCGTAAGGTCAAGTTTTCTCTTATTTGGCAATGTGAGAACGTATCTGTCAGAAAGACACGTTCACAAAGGTCTTTACGTTTATTTTTTCCTCGTATCTTGTGAAGTGAGAACGTATCTGACTGTTTCACTTAAGTTACAACACAGTTGAATTTCTAAAGGTAAATGTTCTCCTTGACTGAAGAACGTAAATAAGTGGTACATGTAAGTTAGGATACAAAGTTAGTTGTTAAAAGCCTCTTAGGTTCAGTCGTGTCCCCTGATATAAGCATCATTTGGGAGTATCATTATATAATTCAACTAACTTCATCAAATGTTTTCTTTGCAGGTAGAGAGGGTGTGACTGTGAGATAGACGGGGAAGGTTGATAGACAAGAGGAAGAAGAACAACAAGAAAGGAAGAAGTGTATAGAGAGACGAGAGAATAAGGAGAAAAATCTTGAAATATAGTGAAGGAAAGAACAATAACGTATCAAGTGAATATCAAAACTGGTGCAGCTGACAACAACGTTTCTTAAGCCTCAGGAAGCCAACGTTTGTACCCTCAGACTCTCTCTCGAGGCTGTGATGCCACCATGGACCACGATGATGCCAAGTATTCTCGTCCACACTCCCACAACCAGAGTACTAGTGGTCCTGTGTCAGCGAGAGGAGACGGGAAGAGACCGCACCATCATAAACAAAAGCACGTGGACGGTACCCAGCAGCACCACCATAAACAAAAGCACGTGGACGGTACCCAGCAGCACCACCATAAACAAAAGCACGTGGACGGTACCCAACAGCACCACCATAAACAAAAGCACGTGGACGGTACCCAACAGCACCACCATAAACAAAAGCACGTGGACGGGTCCCAATACCAGAAGCACCAACATAAGCACCAAATGGACGGCCAGAACCAACATAAACGCCATCACGTGGACGGCACCCATCACCACCACCATCATAAACAACAACGTACAGAGAGCCAACATAAACACAACCACGTGGAGAGAAGCCAACAACAACAACAACACGTGGAAGCATCCGATCACCACCAACAACACAAAGAGAGCAGCCAACCACAACATAAACAACAACACATGGAGAGCCAACAACATGAGGAAGATCAGCTCCAACAGAAACAGCAACACGTAGACGGTAATCATCAGAGGACCGCAGCCTTGAGCCGCCAGCAAGCAGATGTCACGTTTGGCTCACAGAGGGTCGACTTGAATTCATCAACTCCTTACTCTGATGCCACCCAGGTATGTCTATTACGTCTCTCTCAATTCTTAATCAGGATAGAAGGATAGAAAGGTAAGGATGTAGGATAGAGAAAAGGTGATACTCTTTGATATAGACTGTAGGCATGATTTAATGCAATGTCAACAAACTAATCCTATCCTATGACGGCATAACGAGGTAGATGGTTAAAGTTTCCATCTATTCGTGATAAGTATGGAACAAGGAGGATGGAGTTATCCTTCTAGTTAATTATGTGACCAGCTAGGATGGCTTTGTCCCCCCTGGTGTTATAAAATCTTATTAGCAAGATGGAGTCTTCTGTTTACAATGGTATAGGATGGAGTCTTGCTTACAATGGTATAGGATGGAATCTTGTTTACAATGGTACAGTATAAAGCTATGTGGGTAGATTGGTTATTGGTACACTGGGGTGAGATCTGTTTACACACACACACACACACACAGTGGCATCCTGTGTGTATGTGTGTGTGTTACGTGGATCGACATACCATGGGAACGAAATGGGTATGAATTATCCAGAATAGACCCTCTCTCCCCTCTTGGCACACCTTGGCACACCTTGGCACCCAGTAATCTAACTACTGTTCATATCTCTATAACGTGTTGGTTATCAGTATCTTCCAGTGTCCATAATGACTGTGTGTCCTAAATGTCCAGTGAGTTGTGTCTTAGTGTCCAATTAAGTGATTCTCGCCTTCCCTTGTTCAGAATGATAGTCTGTCCCATATGTCCAGTTCTATTGACCCGTTAATGATGTGGTTTATCGTCTAGGTATGGTGTCCAAGTGTCTCATTAAACCATGTCCTTGTGTCTAGTTAATTGTATATCGGTGAAAAGTTGACCATGTCCTAATGATCAGTCAACCATGTCCTGGTATTTCCTCGTGCTGTTATGTCCGATTTACCTTGTTTTAATGTCCGTTAATCCATGTCCTAAAACACCAAGGTATTTCCATCATGATGTCCAATTTAAAGGTATGTCCTATTATTGTTGGAATATCTAGTACCACGTCCATTATAATGTCATGTCCCTATAGCCTGAATGTCCAAATGTGTCCAATTAATACACACACACACACACACACACACACACGTACGTAAACAAAGGCAATATAAATCTAAACTTTTATAAATCAATTCTCCAGTTAATGAACACTTGAGCCAGGACACGCCATAACCTGCCTTGTGGTCCGTATTATCAGAGGTCAATGAACTTTACCCAGTGCTTTAAGTATCGTTCACAACACGGTTTATTTTCGTTCGTCTCTCAGTACAAGTGACGCTCAGAGGAAATATGGATTTTATTTTCTATTTTTATAAGTTTTTGTTTATTTACGTGTTTATCATTTTACTTTTTGTTTATTGTTTGTTAGTTGTTGTTTGTTGTTTATATGTGTAAATTGTTACGATTATTATTGATTTCACTCTTGATTTCTCTCTCTCTCCCTCTCCCTCCTTCCCTCCCTCCCTTTGTCTCTCCTTTCCTCCCTCATTCCCTTCACCTCCCTCATTTCTTCTCCTCTCTTCTTCTCCCTCTTTCTTTCCCTCCTTCCTTTCTTCTCTCCCTTATTTCGACCAAATGATTAAATTTAGAATTGGTGCCTTAAAACCTTCCAAGAATCAATAGAGAGAGAGAGAGATAGAGAGAGAGAGAGAGAGAGAGGGAGAGAGAGAGAGACACTAGTAATAGGAAGCAAAATTGACTCCCTATTTAAAGGTTAATATTCTCAGGTATATCCCGATTTAAAGGATTATTATGCCCCAATTAGCAGTTGTTCTCCCTATTTTAAGGAGAATTACGTTCCTATTAACCAATTTTTAAGAAGAAAATTGAGGAATACAGTGTTCTCTCTCAATTACGGTCTCTCTCTCTCTCTCTCTGGAACAACTCTAAAAGCCTATAACCTCCTCTCTCCCTCACCTTCCCTCCCTCTCTCCCTCACCTTCCCTCCCTCTCTCCCTCACCTTCCCTCCCTCTCTCCCTCACAGCCCCTCCCTCCTCCCTCACCTTCCACTCCCTCGCTCTCCACGATCAAGTAAACCTTTATAATTCAGTGAAACATTCTTTATGTATGACCCGCTTAAAGTCTATTTCCTTCTAACACACGCACACACACACACACACACACACACACACACACACACACACACACACACACACACACACACACACACACGCACACATTCTCTCACTCACCAACACTAAAACAAACAAAATATCCAGGGGTGGAGGATAGAAAGCAACATTAATGTCACCCAGTTGAAATATCCACCAACTGAATCCATTCCATCAAGAACAACAAACACGAAGGGATGGAATAAACTGGTGAGAACAAACACACGAAGAGGAAGGATAACACGAAAGTAGAATAAATTGACAAAAACACGAAAATTGGAATAAATTGACAAAAAAACATAGAAGAAATTGACAAAATTGGAATAAATTGACAAAAAAACAAGAACAATTATTAATATATTGACAAACACAAAAATGGAATAATTGATAATTTCTCTCTCTCTCTCTCTCTCTCTCTCTCTCTCTCTCTCTCTCTCTCTCTCTCTCTCTCTCTCTCTCTATCTCTCTCTCTCTCTACACTGACATACCAGCTACATAGATTCATTTACTGCTTGTCATTCAGTCCTAAAGAGAGACAGAGAGAGAGAGAGAGAGAGAGAATATATATATAAACATGACTCAGCACTTGTGGTTGGTTGAAAGCATCACGTGTTTCACTCCGTCAGTTGTCATGTCAGTCTGTCAGTGGTCAGCGCCATAGAGTGATATGTCGCGTGTCCTCATTGGTCAGCTGAAGGGGGCTTTGACGGCTCGTGATTGGCTAGGTAGGGGAGATCTATGTCGTGGTGTCATTGGTTACGTGACGAGAATTGAAACTTATCGTGTTTGGTGATTGGTTGGATGGCAAGTGATGTAATGTGTCGTGTTTGGTGATTGGTTGGATGGCAAGTGATGTAATGTGTCGTGTTTGGTGATTGGTTGGATGGTAAGTGATGTAATGTGTCGTGTTTGGTGATTGGTTGGATGGCAAGTGATGTAATGTGTCGTGTTTGGTGATTGGTTGGATGGCAAGTGATGTACTGTAATGTGTCGTGTTTGGTGATTGGTTGGATGGCAAGTGATGTAATGTGTCGTGTTTGGTGATTGGTTGGATGGAAAGAGAAGCATTGTCGATAAATAATGTGATTGGTTAGAGTTCTTCCTCTCTAACCAATCAGAAATCAGATAACAAAATTACGTATCAGGCTTTAGCCAATCAGTAACAAGAATTCTAAACCCCTCTATCATCATTTAGCCAATCAGCAACGAGGATCTTAGGCCCTCGAAGATAATTCCACCAATCAACAACAAGGATGCGAACCCCCTATAAAATTTTCACCAATCAGAAGCAGCGTAACGTGTTTGGTGGTCGCGTTACACCATCGACTAATAGGCAACAAGGTCTCAAGCCACGTAGCAACACCCTCTTGCATATCTGACCAATAGGAGACGACCCTAACACAGCCAACCCTCTAGAATACTGATGCTTAGAGTAGGTTAAGTTAGGCTAGGTTAAGTTAGGCTTGGTTAGGTTAAATTACGTTAGGTTAGGTTAGGTTAGGTTAGGTTAGGTTAGGTTAGGTTAAGATTTAGGTTAGGTTAGGTTAGGGGTTTGGAGTTAGGTTAGGTTAGAATTGGAAGCTAGGTTAGGTTAAGGTTAGGTTGGGTTGGTTGGAGTTAGTTGGGATTGGGGGTTGGTTAGGTTAGGTGAGGCTGGAGTTAGGTTAGGTTAGGTTAGGCTAGGTTAGGTAAGTTAGATTTGGTTTGGTTAAAGTAAAATTCTAAATCGTCTTTTTTATGCCGGGTTTTTATGTTTTGTAAGATTTTATTCCATACAAAAACGACAACAGAGAGTAGGGGAGGGAGGGAGGGAGGCCAGGGGGAGGTGAGGAGAGTGGGATTGAGGAAAAAGCATGAAGAGAGGGGAGAGAGGGGATGTGTCTTTGTGGTACTGTTGTTTATACTAAATTTGTCTCCAAACTCAAGATTTAATGCATCATAACTCCTTATTATACTGCCATTTGGAAAAACATACATACATACATACATACATACATACATACATACATACATACATACATACATACATACATTAAAGAGAGACGTAATAATTAAAGAAGGATTTAAGGTTTAAATCCTTCTTCTTTCTCTTTAAATTTTTCGTACCTTTAAAAATCTGTTTTTTTAAGGAACGAGAACAATTAAAAGAGACTAAAAAAATTTAAGTTCTCGTAAAATTTAAAGAAACACCAAACTTAAAACTGATGACTTTAAGCCATTACCTTAAATTTAAAGAGCCGTATGTCTTAAAATTAAAGTGAGTTGATAGGTTTAAGGAAGTCAAGGTCGAGTGTCTGTTGTTGCAATGTTTCCTAACGCGCAACACTGTCTCTTGATCATTGCAACATTTCAATCTGCAATATTGATTTGAGTCATTTTGTTCATTAGTGTGCAACGAGGCCAAGGCTGGTTGGTTAGGAGAGAGAGAGAGAGAGAGAGAGAGAGAGAGAGAGAGAGAGAGAGAGAGAGAGAGAGAGAGAGAGGGGTACACAAAATAAATACACAGTCAGAGAGAATGTGTGCGTGTATAGTGTATGTTTGTTAGTGGTTAACTGCTTGTATACGACTCTGTATGAATATATGTAGGTATACACAACATCCAAGCCATGTGTGTAAATAGATGTGTGTGCGCAGTAAATGTATATGTATATATATATGTGAGTAAATGAACATATGTGTGTGTGTGTGTGTGTGTGTGTGTGCGTGTGTGCGTGTGCGTATTAATGCGTGTGTGATGATGCGTGTGCGATATTATTCGGTATTATTGATATTGTGTGTGTGTGTGTGTGGTGTGTGTATTATTGTGTGTGTGTGTGTGTGTGTGTACTACCCACCCCTAATGGTTGACAGACAGTCATTGTGTACTTCTCACCAACATCTCGTT